TAGCCCCCTAAATTTGGTACCGTTGCACGTAAAATTTTGTCCTCTTTCGAATGACGTGCATTTTTAGCTGTTTTGACGGCTAGAAGTAGGGTTTCCAAAGTTCGTCGATTGTGCCCTGAGGGCATACTGTTTTTTGGGATTTGTGGCCCCCCTGATGGATTCCCCGTATTTTGGCACTAGGATTTTCGATAGAGGACACCATTCTGCACCTCTCCACCAAAATTCAGCGAAATCGTAGGGGCCGTCGATCCCTGCTGAATCCCTGCTGAACCCCTGCTGAATCCCTGCTAACTTCCGTTACATGAGGCTGCCATATCCTCATAACGGCATTTCAATGGCAGTGCAATGGATAGACGGACCACTGCTGATGGGGCCACACATGTCGGCGTGTGGTCATCGGAGGTCCGTGAGGGTTCGACATAGACCCTTCATGGGTCGGTATAGGCCCGGTGGGTCCAGTGTGCAAGCCTATCGGGGGCCGGTGCTGACCCAACAGGGCCCAGTGGCATATAATGTAAGGCTGTCTAGGCCGACGTTGAGGGCTCATGGGGGCCATATAGGACCAATAGGGACCACATCAGTCAATCAGGGGCCATTTAGGCCAATAAAGGCACTTCAGGGGACTTGAAAAGGTCATTCAAGAGCTGTGGTGGGCCCATGAGGGGACGGCATTGGTCCAGCAGGTGCAGTCAGGGGATGTTGTACGGGTTTCTCAGTGGCCCATTTGGGCATATCAGTGACCAATTTGGACCCAGCAGAGGGCTTTGTAGACCTATCAGGGGCTGGTGATGGTTCATCAGGGGCCAGCGTTAGTCCATCGGGGCACGGCATATGCCCATCAGAGGTAATTGCGAGCCCACGCTGAACAATGATGGCCCTTCAACGGCCCCTAATGGATCTACATTGACCCATGGGCCATGATGTGTCATGTATGCCCCTATGACAGGCCTACTCAGACCCCTGATGGACATTCCCGGCCTCTGATGACCCTATACTGAATGCTAAAGGGGCTCTAAGTTTCTCCAATAACCCTTCGTCAACCCATTATTACCATACGCTGGCACTAGGGGCCCCACATCAGCCGCAGGGCAGTCCGTGCCATGACAGCATGTCTTTTCGGCCGATATTACATCGGTAATATTTATTAAAATCATGATTTTATGGTGTCATTATATAGCTAACAGTCATAAGAAATATATTTCAACTCGAAAACAGCTCCAAACAGCATATAATTTTAAAGAAACTCCTCCGAAATCCAAAAGCCTATTCGGGTCCATAGAGAATAACTGCGGTCCCCCGCAATTTCGTCACGAGCGTCGGACCAATCAGCGTCGAGTACTGCCGAGCGCTGATTGGTGAATTTTCCGCTAGCGTGTAAGTACTGCTCGCGGAACAAGAGTTCGTCGACAATCCTCCACAAACGTCTGTCACCATTTTTCGTAATGCTAAACAGCCGGAGCGTACCCCCCTGGGTAAGGTTCCAGTCCACGTGGCTATGTTTTGATTTTGCTTAAAGGTATTTCAAATAGTATTTCAATATACTTAGCAGTTTTTGTTTCATGTGAAAATGCGTCATTTGAAAAGCATATTCTGGATGTTGTGTATATTTTTATACCCCATTCATTTTTCTCACTGCATTCACAATTTTAAGAATAATTTGTATATTTTCCATTATGAATAATTTTGAGCATCAGTGGTCATCCATTACCTGCATGTCCAGATTTGCTAACTAATTATAAATATAAAATAAGTCTAACACTTGGGCTGTAAGGCCACAACCTGCTGTGTTTCTTGAACCTTTATTTTATATGTAGAAGCTGCTGTTTCTGACTGAGACTCTGGCAAATATCTTGTATACTTAAAGCATACCTAGAACAATACGCATGGCCCTACAGTGCCTTACTTTATGATTTTTGTTCCGTGAGCAGCTTAACATTTTGTTCCGCGAACTTAGATCCCCAAACCACTTTTCTGACACTGAGCGTCGCCGCTCCGCCAGCCAGAACACGCAGACAACCCTTCTTGCAGTCGCACAACACGTTGCCAAACTCATTCACCTGCTCCACCATGTTGTTGATGTCACCGAGTCGTTCAAGTTGTGACTCGTGCCGTCGAGCATGACCTGCCCGATCGGACACGGGTCAGCAGCTTCTGCTCCAGCGAAGTCTTCATCTTGGTGACGTCTTGCTGATCTCCACAAAGGCTGAGCAGATGACCTTACCCACAGGGACGGCCGAGTGCCGACGTCCTCGCCAGCGACCGCTTGGTTGTGCAGACCTGCCAGAAAAAGAAAAGCTGTTTGGTGATCTCAAACGATTTTTTTCTTTATGCAGTGGAACAAAATGAAAAATATGTCATACAACAGGAACTAAAAAAAGATGCAGCCTAGGTCGTCTAAGAAATGGGTGCAACATTGATAAAATTCTTCATTGAATGAATTCTGCAAATGCTTTTGATAAAATGTGTGGTGATTATAAGGAGACCACTTTACTATAAAATTGCTCAGGATTCACTATCTGGACCTGTCAAAAAATCCTGACTGCACACCAACAATGAGCATTAAATCCGAAACCTCTACCAGGTACCTAGGGATAATTAAATTCTGATTCAGGAAAATATTTCACATCATACAAATAAAAACCTTTACTATATTGAAACTGAAAATGTGATGCCGATTCCGTGACCTAAGGGTCTCAAAGTATAATGATGAATTAATCTATTATAAATTTGGTGGTGACTGCCGACTGGCGTCTGGCGGCCTAGACCTTGAGGCTTGAAAGTGGCCTTCCTTTTCCGTTGACTCCGATCCTCCAGATGGAAATGATATAAAGGATCATTTTTATCTTATTTCATATGAGCCAGTCAGCAAAGTGGCTATCCTGTTTCAGCATTCACACACACAATAGTTGACTGTCAGTCTGTCATGCTGTCAGTGTTGTGAAGTAACGAAGGAGTTGAGTTTTGTTGATTATAAATTGTGATGTTATGTAAAGGACTGGAAAATGAATGTGAAAACTGTGGAAACATATTGGCAGAGTATTGTCACTTACTATCAGGACATATGGATAGAGAATACATTCAAATTAATAAGAAATGCCAAATATCAAGGTACTCAATCACTGATAGCAGTGGACTATCATATGTTTTAATGTCAATTATATGAAAGTTAAGACTGAAACTACCTTTTACCTCATCATACCTAATGAAAAATTGTGTGAAGAAAACATCCACAGCCTCTTTGAAGCACTTAAACCACTAAAAAACAAAAAAATCACGTAAATATGGTGTGTCTCCTTCCTTCAAAACATCATATCGGATGGCGCCACTTTCGTCGACAGTTACTTATCTGCACGTAAATCGAGGAAAACGTGGATTGATTGACGTTTACGTGTTTCCAAATTTAAAATCACAGCATATTCAAACTTTTCAAAGTACCTTTTAACATCTAAGTATAACTAAAACGATAAAAACTTACCTTCAACACAAGGACGACGACAACCACGCGACCGGAGACGTCGCGACGAAATAAACAAACGGCGCCGCCAAATGAAAAATATTCTCCGATATGGGTAATGTGAAATTGAGTCGCAATCATTTTGGGTAGTATGAAAAATGCTCTTTCCAACAGAACCCTAGTAAAAAACGTGAATGGACAAAAAATAACTTTAATTTCGACATAAATATTGGCCTGTTTTTAAGTCATCCTGGTATGCTGTAAGATTTCGACCTATAAATTGGTGTTCCCCCAATCATTGAAGCTTGAGCAGTGAAAAATATGAAAGCCTAATCTGTTTTGCATCATTAGTGATTCTCCTAGGGTGTTGCCATTTCTCCCTAGGTGTTGCGAGTTGCTTTTGCAAAACGTGTTCCTGAAACGGCTCAATTTTTTGAGCCCTCAGCATTACGCCTATGGGAGCCTCTGACGTCACACGCTCAACATTTTGAGCGCTCAATTTTTTGAGCTTTTCCCCCTTGTGCGCGGGACTGATATGATTATGGGTATCACCGTATCAGTATCAGTTTAGTTTTTAATCAATTTTCAATTTTGAGCCGAGAGTTACACCTCAAAAAGCGATTTTCACCGCCATCTCATGGGCCATGGCCATGCATGGTAGCAAAAATTGACCGAGACAGTGTACTAACGAATCACAGTTAAAAAGTAAAAATAAAATACACAAGTTCCATTTAAAACACACACAAAAGCTGTGTGTAATGTGTTGTTTTGCGTGTTAGCAATTTCACACACAGATACACACGTGCATGATCGGTGTTTGAGTTCTTTCAACTATACTACGTACCACGTGACCTAAGCAAATCAAATTTTTGAGTGAGCTTTAAACTTTTCTGGGAATAAATTTTGGTCAAACTTAATCTTAAATACAACTGTTTTATTAAAATGTAATTTTAAATAAGAAAATTTTGATCACTTTTGTGCCATTTAGGTGAAAAATAGCATACTTAGTCACGTGGTTAGAAGCAATCACTTCGAAACATTGGCGGCATAATTGGCGAGGGCAACAACGTAAGTTTAGGCCACTAAAATAAAAACAGCCTTTGGAACAAAGCGTAAACCAATAATCTTTGCCTTTGCCGCAATTTCGTAAAAGTTCAACAATTCTAAGCTTCGCAAGAAATTTTCAACAAGATAGTGCCTAAGGCCCTATCATATTCATGGTTTATCGATAAGTAAGAATAATTCATGAACTCTTCGCTGTCCATGGTATGAGCATGAACATTGAGCAACAACGCATTGAGCATTGAGCATTGAGAATACTCGCCCAAGGCCATGCATACACACCGACACCACTCGGCCTAGGCGTGAGCTGAATGAGAAGGGAAGACTCGTATACGGATCATGCAATGCCTATTCCAGCCCAGCCATACTCTGAGCCACGCTTAGCCCATCTCTCTTGGGCCTAGTGTTCAGTACTTCCGAATGTGAAATCGAAGTATAAGCACATACATACCTCTGATGACGTCCATTATGATTCAAAACAAGCTTTCATTCTCTAGCTGTATTTGTACTCAGCAACATATCATTTTCATGGAGGCTGCATCAATGCAGCCTGTGTTCAGGGACACCCATCATCCATTTACCGACTCGCGCACACACATGGGAGGGACAATTATCATAATTACAAAACGGGCCGCAGCCTCAATTACAGTTTACACTGGCAGTTAATTAGCGAAGGCTATAACACAGCGCAGCTAGATGAGTGCAGCGAACTGCACCCACCCGGCGACATAAAATCACAGCAATTCCCAGCGGCGCGTCCCGCCGCCGAGACGACACCGGCCGGCCGCAGCGGGACGAAATTAAACGGCTAAATAGGCGATCAAGCGTCCAATGTCACCACACGAAAGCACACTGATTAAAGGTCAATCTGGGGAGAATTATTGCACCTTGGGCGATTCCTTCAGGCGAAAATGACATAAACTCATCCGCTGAGGATGATCCCCAACAAATACATCCGTGATGAAAAGTGAGAGAACCCCACCTCGTCTTCCATCGATGCCCTTCCAGTGATAAATAGACGTACAGTGACTCATCGAACCACATTTGGTAAAAGGCTTCACTTAATTAATGTTCGCCTATCTAGCACTTCCTGGCGCTAACAAGCTCGAGTCTTCGACCACGTCAGTCATCTTAGTGCTGAGAACGAAATAAGACGATACAAGCAACATCTGCTGACACTTATGACGACAACCGGCGAAACAGTGGTTCACGTCTCTACCACAAGGGGCGCTCTCGTCGCTTCCCTCTCAATCACATTAGAGGACCGCCTCGTCCATGACCAGTTTGAGGTCCTCAGCCGCACGGGATACGTCCAGCACTGCATCCGCCATCTCTTGGACGGCGTGGGCGCTGGGAAACTGAAGCGCCGCAGTCTTGGTCGACTGCACCGTACGCCGCAGCGTGGCGAAGAGGGCGTCGGCCGCGGCCAGCGCGTCGCGCCGTACGCCGGCATGGACGACGTTCCTATGAACCGTATCACCGATATACACCAGCTTATGGGCGCTCAGGATCACAAACTTGGAGTGCGCCACAAACACCTTGGGCGGCTGGTTGTTCTGGATGGTCTGGAAGAGCGCGTCGATGGCGTTGTTGAGGAACGCGTGGTGACACTCTGTCTGGCCGCGGTAGAACTCTATCACCTGGTGGTCGTTGGCGTCCACACGGTCACCGACCGGGACCTGGGACTCCTTCATCAGATTATCGAACGAGCCGCGCAGCTCCTCCGGCAGCCGGCTGCGCACCTCGTCCCCCTCCTCGGCCAGCGAGCCACTGGTCTGCAGACACACGTAGTCGTAGTCGCCCATCAGACCGGCGCGCGGCCCGGACGGCGGGCTGGCGCCGCGCTCGGCCAACACGCTCGCGCGGCGGCGGAACACCAGAGCCGCGTTACCGCGCACAAAGGCCACCACCTGCCGCACGTCGCCGCGCAGACTCTGCGCGCACGCCACCAGCTGGGACAGCGCGTCCGACGGCGCGTTTTGGCGACGTAGTGCGGCGGCCGACCAGCCGGCTCGCTCCTGGGTCTCGGCAGCGCTGTCTATCAGCCGCGCCGTCTCCTCCAGAGGCCGCAGCACGTGTACAAACTGGGAGCCAATGCGCTGCTCAGGGCCGCGCGTGGTCGCCACCATAGCACCGTACGCGAACTGGATGAGCTCGTGCAGAGCTGTGCGCAGACGCATCACGGTGAGCTTCAGGTCGACGGCGGATGCTTCCATGTGCGCGGCGGCGCGACTACTGGGTGCCACGGCAGCAAACAGCCGGTCCAGGGCGGCAGTCACCTCCTGATCGAGCCGCGCCACCGTCTCCAGGCCGGCGTCCGTGTCCAGGGGCAGCTCGCGCGGCTCGCCGAACCCAGAGAGCGCCGAGCTGCCGCCGCTGCCAGCACTGCGCAGCCAGTAGGTGGCGTTACGCGAGGCGGTGCCCGTGCGTGAACGCTCGGAGCGGAGTACCACTTCACTGGAGCCACTGCCGACGCTCGCCTCACTGACTGTACTGGCGCGGTGTGACAGTGCTGACGACTGCAGTGAGTCGCGGGAGCCGAAGGAGGCCGCTGCGGCGCCGCGCCGCGGTGTAGTCACGCTTGGAGCGCGCGGGGAGTCGTAGATGTCCAGCTCGGGGCGGGGCGAGGAATATGACTCTTGTGCCGCGCGAGGGAAGTCATACACGTCCTGTCCTCCACGAGGAGAATCGTACACGTCCTGTCCTCCGTGCGGGGAGTCGTACACATCCTGTCGCGCACGTGGCGCGTCGTACACATCTTGTCCTCCACGAGGAGAATCGAACACATCCTGTCCTCCACGCGGGGAATCATTCACATCCTGTCCTCCGCTCGGGTGAGGATAATCATACACATCGTGCGCCGGGCGCGGATAGTCGTACGTATCGATCGTGTCGAGTGTGTCGTTGGGAGAGTCCGTCTCCGTCTCTCCCCTGGCCGCGGACGAATCGCTCAGCTCCAGTTCGGCGAGCCGCCCGGTCGGAGGTGGCGGAATGTCATAGGTGTCGCCACTGTCGAGCCGTAGCCTGGACTGCGTCTCCTGCGGCGAGCTCACACGAACGTCGCGGCTCTCGGTACGCGTGCGGGGCGGTGGGAAGTCGTACGTTTCCCCTTCCCGTGCATCGTCCACCTGATTTCGGCTGCCGCGCGCCGCCGGACGCGACGGAGGAACATCGTATGTGTCCTGCTCCTCTGTCGGCCAGGTGGGGCCGATACGCCGGGGGATGTCGTACTCCTCTCCTTCAGAGGCATCCGAGAGTCGCCCGTTTTCGGGGATACCGGGCGGCCGGCGCAGCGGGGTGGCCTCCGGCGCCTGCTCCAGACTGGAGCGGTTGGAGCTGGAGCCGCTGGAGCTGCGGGTCGAGCTGCCGGCAGAGGTGATGGACACGGCCGAGCACCGGTTGGAGGCCGGCGCCGAGTAGAGCGCCGTCGCACCGCCGCCGCCGGCCGTCAGCCGCGGCTTAGCGCTAGCGGGCGGCGGCGGCGGTGGCACGCGGTGTGCCCGGGGCGTGTCGTAGTCCTCTTGAGCGGCGCTGACCACAGAGACCGGAGCCGGCGGCGAGTCGTACGTGTCTGAAACAGGGAGACGGGCACTGAGTTACGAATATCAGCGGCACTGACAAATATATTATCCATGCATTGATGGTTCTTCGACAGGCCTCGACATTCATGACAAGCTCTTCGATAAGAGACCACAGCTGCAAATATCCTCGAAGCAAGACCCAACAAGATCCCTGGCTGCACTGGCTGCACTGGGGCCTGACAGCTATCGCACAGAATCACAAGTTCGAGTGTCGTCACTCGTCAGCCAAGAGCCGTAGTGTTTGATCCGTGACAACAGATAAGATCTGGAAACAACGGCATTACTGTGGTTCTGTGAACTCAGTGCAGGGCTCGAAACGAGAGTGTCCCAACTCCCAAGTGGGTAATGGGCACTAATTGATTTTGTGGATAGGTCGATAGGAAAGTAGTCTGAATTGGTGGGTAGATTAGGTAGGAATAGAGATGTCAATCGGATACCGACTTTTTGGTATACCGATACCAAACCGATACCAACTTGGTATTCGGTATTTCAATCCTAATGTGTTTGGTATTTTGTTGGTATCATTAACCCCCACTAATGTATAAAAGGCTAAGAAATCGGTAAAAAGTTGGTATTTCCCTCATGTTCCCAAGTTGGTTTGGTTTCGGTATTTCTCCACGGTTTCGGTTGGTACTTGGTTTGGTATCGGTATTCAGATTTTCCGTAACTGACATCACTAGGTAGGAAGTCTATTTCTGTGAATAATTAGAAGGTCCATGCCTGTGAATAGGACTTCTGTAGACCCACAGCTGGGCCGAAGGAGATGGGGACGGGCGGGCTCCCCGATTCCCATAGTCCCCAGTAGATTCTAGTTCCTCACCTCCTGAGTACTGACGCATCAGGCGCTCAGCGCGACTGGGACGGGGCAGGCTGGCCGTGCTCTGGTTCATTGGTGAATTCTGAAACACAACGAGAGAACAGTTAGGTTACAGCTGTGTAAGACACTTATCATGAGGGTACGATATTGCTCAGTGGTTATCGCCTGTGTGACATCTATTTCAGGCACAATTATTATCGCGACAGAAGGGGAGGGGGAGCGAAAGTGGTAGTGAGTGACACATGTCTCATGAGAATATGACAAAATTAGACGGAATAATTGCGCCCTGATTTCATCCAGTCATTATCTTCCCCCGTCGCTTTCCACCCTTCACATCAGTCATTACATGTAATCACTGAGAATGATTTCTGCACATGTGTTCACAATACCCGATCCACCCAGCCCTTCCCTACCCCAGAGGAAGGGGTTCAGGGTGCAAAAGCTGTGGAGGCCATTGCCGTTTCGTCCCTTCCCACACCGCATCCCTAACTTCAACTGTCTTATTCTCCGTTCTTCGCAAACACTCGACCGATCCTTCTCGCACACATGAACGCCTCTCAGTCACCTTCCCCCCACCCTCTCTCCCCTCTTTCCGCCGCTTCCGGTGGCGCCGGTCACAGGACAGAGGCGGGGAGCGGGTGAAGAGGCCGGGAGCGATAGGTTCCGGTGACTTGGTGACGTCACACCGGCGCGACCTTAGCCCAGCAGCTCGGACCGGATCTGTCGTCTCACCAGAGCCACTTCACTCGGCTGTACCGGGAATCAGTCCGGTTATGAAAGGATTCTCATTTCAATCAGCTGGGGAATGACCGGTTCGGGGCAGTTCAAACCTCGCGAGGATCAGATGAAAGATATCCCTTACCCGATCCGCTGTTTCACTAGAAGGACTTATCCAATGCCTGAGTCGCTTCAATCAAGTCGATCATTCAAATTTAATCGGTCATGTTCAGGAAATTACGTTACAACCCAAAATACTCCTCATATAGCACGTGTCAAAATGCCCACTAAAGACTTAACTGTTCGACCCGCTCCTACTCTCATCCTACTTTACGTTACAACTCGACTCCGACTCGAGTCTGACTCGCCCCTGAGTCACATCTGACGGGAGGATGACGATCAACCGGATGGCTGTGGGCGGTGTGTTGAAAGGCTGAAACTGCTACCCACTTAGACCAGTCACATGTGACGAAACGCACACCCGCACCGGCAGCCACTCTCGCTGAGCGCGGCGACTGGTTAGGAGTAGGACACATGATATGATGATTCACATAGGATTATCTGTCGCCATCACGAGGCTAAAACAAGCGCTGGTAGGTACTAGTACTAGTGCGTCTAGCTGGCAGGAGACTTATTCACAATATTTAGACGGCTACTGGGTAGGAATGTCTTGCTCCATATAGGAAGCACCAGAAGCAAGCACAAAGTGCATCTAAACACAAGCCGTCTCATCTCGGAAGTTACACACGCCATGGGTTATATCACTGAAAACAAAGAAAGGAACTGGACTGAAATTCCTCACGCAGGGACAATGAAATCCCAGCGACCCGGAATTAGCCGAGCGCCGCGTTCGTTTCCTTCTTCCTCGTGCCACCGCCATCGCCCCACGCCAGCCGTGCCAACGACCCCGTACGACCCGCATGTGGCGGAGACCTGAGCGATCCCCGGCTGCCGGCGGCTGCAATCCGCGCCAATCACGCCAGTCTCCGCATCATGCAACATGCATCACTGGTCGGCGGAGAGACCCCGGGGAGGGTAAGAGCTTCCTCCGCCCTCTGCCTCGGGCTCAACACCTGGGAGCATGAGACATGCACGGCACGCCATGAAGGCAATGCCGAACGGTACACCTCTCCCCCCCCCCCCCCTCTGAGTGATTGAGGGGGAGGCGAACCGACAACCGCATCAGGTGCATTCACCATTACCTATACTGGTTCCGTGTACGGGGCAAGGTCGTCTGAACGGGCCCCGCAGGTTCGCCGGAGATGCAACAGCCGCTTTCCGCGTACCCGGAGAGGGGCACGTGGCGGGCGCCGAGGCAGGCGGCGGACAAAACCGCAGACATTCCAGACATCGCAGACAGGTGACCCAACAGCAGACAGGGGCCGGGTAAAGTCGCAGACACCTCACACAGGTAACCCACCCAGCAACAGACGGACTGCATACCGCCGCTTGTCTGGTCGGTCAGACAGGCTACAATGTCATGGAATGCTCAGACCGATCGTCCTACCGGCAGTCAGATATGGCTCATGTGGCGCGTTTGATCCGGCTGGTCTTAACCAGACTCGGAACAGATATGGGACGGGTGGAACCAAAACCAGGGCTGAAGCAGGAATGGTCAACGGCTGCTTTGTGCCACCGGCCTGCTCCGAAGAGGGTTAATTCCCATTCTCTCTGCTTCGAAAGGTGATGTGATGATCCGTACAAGTCAGAACGTCCAGCATTTTGCGCTATGACGCACCTCCACTCAGGCCTGTGATAGGTGGACGGTGGTGCGGTGGTATACGAGGACGGAGGACCGACCATGCCGCTCCGGTATACAGCAGATATCTCCCGTCCGTGTCTGTGATTTATGGTCGGAGACCAATTTTCTCTTCGTTGTCGCGTCGAGCCGAGTGAATTTAGCGCAGTGACGCAGGCACGGAGACAGGCTCGACTATAGAGAAATTGAAGAGCTGTAGACTGGAAAACCTGAAACCGACGGCCTCCGACGGAGACTTGGCTAAGCTCGGACGGAATCAGGCATATGTTTTGAACGAAATACGAGGCTGCAGCCTGCATTGAGCGCCGGCGACCCGACTGGCCTTTAATCAATTCCAGCCGAGCCGCCGATTTTTAGCCACAACTAGAATACTGCATGCGTATTAAACGGCTAGGAAACGGCTGTTTAGTCGATCTTCTTTGGCAAACGGCCTTTAATCGTGCGTGATGGCGTCACGTCCTAGCGCCCTATCAGCCTCAGACACACCGGAAACGGGCCTCCCAGCTCAAATTAGCCCCGTATCACTCCTAGTCGACTGGAGCAATGTTTTGGATCAGACCCTAGAGCTTATCAAAGAGCCGACGTCCGGCTGCGGTCAGCGTGGGGTGTTGGACGACCGCAGTCTTCCGCCGCAGACGCCACCTTGATACGACTTCCGTCAGCCGTCAGCTCGCTCCAATCTCGCACCAACCAGCTGCCGTCAACATCCGATCATCACGGAAAATAGCCCGATGTGCGTCAGCCGGCCCTGTATCTATCCTGGCAGCGGCTTCAATCCCGACACGGGAAATGTCCTGTCCGCCACTGAAATTCGCCGTCCGAGCGGCGCAGAGGTAGGCGTTGGAGCCACCGACGTGTCTCGAATGAGGAGCCCTCCCTCGACCCTCCCCGCCCCATCCAAGGGGTGTGTGTGTGGGGGGGGGACAGGTGTGGCGCCTGCTGGAGGGTCCGGTCGATGGCAGCAGCAATCTGGTCACCACTGGGCATTGGGCGCCCACGTCGAATCAACGCTGACACCCACCGGACCTGTCTAGCCCTTTCAACAGGGTTACAGTTGAGATGACCCCTCAGAGCTCCCGGTGACCCCAGCTGACCTCCCACGTGCCTGCGGGTCACCGGAAGTGGGCGTGCCGCGGCACCAGCGCCGCAGCACACGCGCCGGCTCCGCAGGATCAATAGGCGCCGCGCCGCCGGCCGGTCGGGCGTCGGCCCCGCGGCTCCGCGCCGGTCGGTGGCCCGTTCAGGGGTCGACCTTCCTCTGAGCCGGCTCCCAGTTCACACACGAGGTACGACCGCGACCGAGGCGCCGTCTGAGGGCGGCTATTATCCCCGGGGGACGGCAGGGGCCGACAGACTATTGATTTTCGACTCCCCCTCTGTCGCGACACAGAACAATCGATGGCGGCACAAGTGACTCACTTGATTGCGATAGCGCAGTGAGCGGAGGGTGGGCTCAATTTCGGCGTGAGAACGTCCCAATCCCGCATGATGATTTCATATCTCGATCTGATGCTGCGTCTCTATGAGGCAACCGTCAGTCGGCGCAGCGCCTTTGAGGCTTCGAGAATGCAACCGGTCACAGATTTATAGTTCCTCTGTTCGACTGTTCCGTTTTCCGGTTCAGGCCATGGTAATTGTGTCATCCTACATTTACTCCTCAAAAGTCCAAGCCTTGTTTATATCGTTCAATATGCATGTAAAATCGACAGAAGAGTTTAGACTTTACATACCTACTATGCAAGCCAGGCCTTTTCATCAGCCAGTGCAATGAATCAGCGCCGACATATACATTATGGATAGTCAGCTTAGCAAACGGAAACACCTGATGCTCCAGCTAGGTGCCATTCGCATGGCGCCAGCCTGGTTTACCCAGACATGATACATCGGTCACAACAAGGAAGGTGGGATTAAGAAACCTAATACACATTCACAAAGCATAACCGATATATGCCACTGATACGAATCTACCGTGGGAAGGCTGTTCCATGCCGTTCACGTACTAACGCGGCGATAGAGCATGCAATTGCCTTTCAATGTCCATGAAGAGCCATATAGCGCTATTTGGCTGATTAAACGATCACATTAGCTGTCAACATCAATCTCCTGAGCCGCAGATGGATAGACACCGCTTCATGGCCGGACCCTATGCCATCCCACCCAATCTTAGACGATGAGGCTCTCTGTTTGGGGACGGACGGGGCTGATTAATGGCTCACTTGATCCCGTCTTAATGCAGGAAGCATCAGATCGAATAGGAAATAGGAAATATCCTTTTCTCACGTCAGGCGACAATCCCATTCATATGGCAATGGTGTTAATGATGATGCTTAGGATCATGAACTTTCTTGACCACTCGATCCATTGGCTTTGCACGATGTTCTTGTTCGCCTTCGATGACATCGTAAAATCGCCAGCCCTCGGACTAACAAACCCTTTTTGCCTTCACCAACTTGGACCCTGGCTTATCCCGGTCACTCCAGGGTCCTGTCTCCCCTGAATCCGGTCTCCTCAGGGTCGGGTCACTCCCGGGTCCGATCGTCCACCTTGTGCTCCCCTGCCGTCTCTCTTCGCTCACCTTAGCGTTGGGACTCCAGCTGCGTCGAAACCGGCCGGTGGTACCGTGCATCTGCGCGGCGACTTTGGCAGCCTGAGCCGGGTCGTAGACGCCTTCCAGCAGCTGCAGCCGGTTACCCGGCACTATACCCTGCGGCGGGGGGTCAGACGCTCAGGTCAGCTCATACATCACATGGTCGCCATAGACGGTCATCTGGCTGCTCCCCGGGGTGTCGTGGCGGTCAGGCCAGGTCAGCCGCCAGGTCACTGTTGTGGGCTTAAAAAAACACACACACACATTACAAGAAATGGTTCATTCCCATTTGCCACCCGAACCTCATGACGTCTGAGATAAACCGCTAAGCTCCAAAAGCCTCTGAACGACGCCAGCCGACCAGCTAACAAAGCATCCCGCTCGGCCGCCGCGCCGGCTAAACCTGACTGGTAACATACTGCCGGGACGTGCAGCGGTTAAACCGGCTTCAATCATCGCTCGTCAGCCTCTGTGGCCTTGCGATAGACGATCGCGCTCCTGTACGGACCGGTCCGGTCCCCTCCTCCTGTCTGTCTGGTGATATTTTGTATGCAGGGGCGTGTCTCGTGAGGTGTACCCACCTATCTCATCTGCCCATTATTCGGGCGAGGATGATGGGCAGACAACTGCCACCATCTTCCTCATGGTAATATTCCAGTCCAACAAATCACCGGCAACGTCAAAAACGAGCCAGCCAACGGACACGTTACCATGGCAACGCCAGTGAGTGTTTTCTGCTGACCTTGAGTTGACCGTCTGGCGTGCCGGAGTTGAGGGATGAGCGTGCTAATTAAACACTTCGAGGGCACTTCGTGGCGCCAGGAGTGTATTTAGTCAGTTCGGGCCATCATGAGCGCCCCTCCCAGCCCTCCTCACAGTCCCTCTCTCCCTCCAGGCTCCAGCCCACCAGAGTCCAACCAGACCTCCCGCGGCTATACGGAGTGACGAAGGAAATTAGGCTTCCAAACGCCCGAAACGGCGCCGCACGATCCCAGACAATTACCGTCAGCTGCTCAAAACGCGGGAGAGCTCGCGCTAAGGTGTCGCGACCACATCCAATGGAGTTCCGTCTTAGAACAGGCCGAATACAAATCGTTGCGATCCCGCTGAGAGGTAATTAGGTCGACAAGATTGTGCTCCACTGCTGACCTCGGAGTAAAACAGTGGAAATCTAATGCTCTAAATCCAATGTGAACATACAAAGTACCACTAAATGCGGTCCCCCTGAGCCCTACTGCCGACCTCTGAAGGAGCACAGCCACCAGTACTGCAGTGTTCCACTCCAGTGCCCTATCTGCCGTCCCCTGAAGGAGCAGAGCCACCAGCCCTGCACTCTGCAGGCCGCCCGTATGTCCCTACCTGCCGTCCTCTGAAGGAGCAGAGCCACCAGCCCTGCAGGCCGCCCGTGTTTTGTAGCGTCCCTACCTGCCGCCCTCTGAAGGAGCAGAGCCACCAGCCCTGCAGGCCGCCCGTGTCCTACCTGCCGCCCCCTGAAGGAGCAGAGCCACCAGCCCTGCAGTATCCCTCTCCAGTATCCCTCCCTGCCGCCCCCTGAGGGAGCAAAGTCACCAGCCCTGCAGTGTCCCTACCTGCCGCCCCCTGAAGGAGCAGAGCCACCCCTATAACCCTACCTGCCGCCCCCTGAAGGAGCAGAGCCACCAGCCCTGCAGGGCGCCCGTGTCTTACCTGCCGCCCCCTGAAGGAGCAGAGCCACCAGCCCTGCAGGCCGCCCGTGTTCTGCTCGACGACGGTCAGCGTGTCGCCTCTCCGGAAGGACAGCTCGTCTGGAGAATCGGCCAGGTTGTCGAACATCGCCAGAGCCATCCATTTCTGAAACAACGAGAAAATAAGAGTTAAACAGGGGTGATAAGAGGCATTGCTTAATGTAGGTTGATGTTGTGGATCAGCTAGGGTTGACTAAAAAAAGAAAATGTTAAAAAACCTACGCGAATATTTTGCATGATCAGCCCCCACTGTTCAGCAGTTGCTACACACAACAGGTGGCTGGTCTGTCGCCTATGACGCGTGTCGGCTATCCGCGTTGGGCGCTATGCGTCACAGGTTTCTCCCAAACTGCTATCGGCTGTTGACATTTCACAAACGGTTGACACCCAGTTCACCGCCCGGGTTACCCCGAAAGCTACCTCTGCAACATTTGACGGTGACCCCAGCGTCCCCAGCCCCATCCTTCCCTCTCTGGTGAGCGCGGCTGGGTACGACATCAAAGCCGCCGGTCGGGCGTCAGCCGCCATCGGCCCATTCAGCGGACATTGCACCGACATGTAGAGATGATGTACCGTCGGACGGACAGACATCACTGGCCTGCAGACATTGCAGAACGCCGTCCTGATGCCGACAGTTTGGCGTACCATGAGGAGTGAGCTGCTGACTGACCCCGCCCCTCGTCGGCTAACATGACAGAGTAGTCAGCAGACGGTCTCCTGCACCATCAGAGGTTTGTCCGGAATTCAGCTCACTTGGGCCTGTTTAGGCGGCACATTCTGTAAATTGTTTCAGATGTGCTGCAGCATTTCCCGCCGTGCTGGCGCGTGCCGTAATACCCCAGGGTCAACCAGGGTCAAGGAATGCCAACGACGGGTCAAGTAGCCCGTCATGATAATTGATAACGTCAAAATCAAGCTTCCAATAATAAGTAGTTCCAAGTAGGTATACATGCAACAATCAGCAATAGCAGTAACGGTTCGATGTCGGTCCAATGCCAACAGGGTTCACCTGAGCGGGTAACAGGCGCCAGCAGACTTCTGATTTGCGACCAGTTTTTACCCCCGCAACATCTGCCTTCCGCATCCCGAGTCGCTTTAACTCTCCCCTCACGCGTGATTTGGAGCCCGCCTCACAATGCCTCCCTGATTGTTTCCGTACTTTTTCTCGCAGCCCGCGAATAAAATCCCAAAATATCGCTCATACCAGCAATAAAGGTCATAAATCAACGGTGCGTTCTGTTTTTGTCACTGACCTACGCCCAGTATTCTATATTTAACCGGTCACTGGACAATAACTACCTAGATAGCGAGGGCCGTGGAGGAAAAACCATTTATCCATCCGCCTCGCCGGCTCTCCGCCCTTTGTCCCTTCTCTCCAGCTCCACCATATTATCTCCGGCGCCCTGACACCAATGACGTGAGCAGTCACGTGACCTGATGACGTCACAGGGTACGAAGATAGCCCGCCGGGCGCCGAGGCCGGGCCTGTCAGCGGCGATTGTCAGCCAAGTGACAGCCGGGTGACAGCCGAAATTGGAACTCGTATTGACGGTTCGACGCGCTGCGTGCGTGGTCTTGGCGAGGAGCATTGGAGAGCAATTAGCACCAGGCATGGACAGACTTTATCATAGGCGTGACAAAGACTGCTTTATTATAGGCGTGACAAAGTCTGCATCTCAGCGTGACCTGAACGTGACACGCGAGTGACCTATGCGTGACCCGAATGTGACCTGTGGTAGGGATGTGGGAGGATGAAGATAATCCATGCCTGATTCGGCAGTTATGTATGAAGGATAACGAAGAATGCTGGTCGTCCATGCATTAGGTCACAAACTAAACAGATTGCAGGTCGCTTGGTCCTTAAGCGAATTACCAACTCGTCCAGCAGTTCCTGAGGCGGCACCGGGCGCTCAGCCGGTTTCCGGACTCTAGGAACCCACTCTAGGGGCGCCACTCCTGGGGCCGACTGCGGCGCCGGTGGAGGTCGCCATAAGTGTAATGGTGTCAGTGAGGCGGTCCCCCGGGCTGCGCCGCAGAGCCGGACGTCGCTCCTCGGTCACGTACACATAGTCAAGGTGAGGGGGGCCGCCGCCGGCGGACCGGCGCCGCGCGCGTCCCTTCCTCATCACACACCGGCCCAGGGCGGGGTGGCCTGAGTGAGCCGTCCCGCGGTCAGAAGTGGAGAAAACTGGACTCAGACCGGCCGCTACTTTTCCCTGATATTTGAGGACAAAGAGAGACAGATTGCTGCTGATCCAATGTTCAACGTTCACATTCAAGCGTCCAGTTCGATCAGCCCAGAGACGTCCAGTCGCGAGCAGAGTTCACGCCATTGTCGAATGTTCAAACTTATTCGCTGCCCGCTGGTCCATTAAATCATGTCAAACGTAGTAACAAAGCGGTCACGAAATTTGGCCACACACAGTAACATCAGTAGCTCTATATTTTTGCCATAGGACGCTTTGTTACTATAGAGTAAAGGCGTCTCTAGATTGGCAAAGCTGTATCTGTCATGCATCATTCCCGACGAGAATCCATATCCATCAAAACCCGGCCCGTGGCACACCCTATCATTCCCCGAGGCAATCATCACCCTATAACACCTCAGTTCTCCCTGCACTGCCCCGACGTGCAATATTCCCCAGAGCCCCCGATAGTCATCGGCAGAGAGCAGTCATCAGCCTGAGAAGCTGAGAAGGCGTAAGGTGGCCCGATTGGAGACGCCGATAGCGGTGGGAAATTGCTCCAAAGTACCGGCCGCCTACTGCTGCCGGCCACCCTCCGAGCGGCAGGCACCCTAGCCGCCCCCGCCCCCGCCCGAGCCGGGGACCGCCCGGGCGGCCCGCGCCGCACCAGGCGGCTATATCGGTATCGGCAAACACCCCGACACACACACTGCGGGGCAATGTGCGCCGAACGCTGAACGTGAACGGGGGAGGGGGGACGCAGATCCGGTTCCGTGCACCAGGCTCCGGAAACTGGCGCTCGGCGAGAGGTGCGAGACCCGTCAGAACGCGACCGCTAGGGCTGACTTCGGGTCGCGAAAGGTGCCAAAACTTGAGTACCTACATAACAGGGTTGTGCTTGACTCATGAGTCGAGTCAGATAGTTGACTCAACTCTGACTCAGATGAGTCAGGTTTGAGTCGAGTCGGATAATGTTGAGTTGTTGAGTTGAGTCAGAGTTGAGTCAGTAAAATAACTTTTGACATTGAGTTGAGTCAAAAACATTTAGGAACATGAGTCAGCTGACTCATCTTTCTAGAAACAATATATATAAGCTTTTCATTCTCCCCCGCTTAACAACTTAGGCCTGGCCCTGCTGCCGGATTTTTTTTTTCACCCCCCCCCCCCGCTCAACAGTGGCGCAGCCAGGGGGGGGGTGAAAGGGGTGAGATCTCACCCCCGTCTCATATCCTAGGGGCCCACCGTCGATTCGAACTGTAACGTTATGCAGCCTGACAATTTTTTATCACTAATGTCAAGGTCCGTCATAGGACTGAAAAACAGTTTTCAGGCCTGTTAGCCCCCCTTTAGGATTTATAGTCCCATTTTATTATTTAAGGGTGTGCATCCAAGGCCTAGAAGGGCCCGTTCCATGGCATGAGAGGGCCATTTCAGGCCTGAGAGGGCCCGTTTCAGGTCTGTGAGAGCCCATTTCAGGCCTGAAGGGGCCCAGTTAAAGCTTGAGAGGGCCCATTTCAGGCCCTAAAGGGGCTGTTTGAGGCTTGAGAGGGGCCCATTTCAGGCCTGAGAGGGCCCATTTGATGCTTGTGAGGGCCCATTTCAGGCCTGAAGGGGTCCATTTCAGGCCCTAGAGGGCATGTTTGAGGCCTGATAGGGCCCATTTCAGGCCTGAGAGGGGCCCATTTCAGGCCTGAGCGGGCCCATTTCAGGCCTGAGGGGGCCCATTTCAAGCTTGAGAGGGCCCATTTCATGCCCTAGAGGGCCTGTTTGAGGCCAGAGAGTGCCCGTTTGAGGCCTGAGAGGGGCCCATTTCAGGCATAAGAGGCACCATTTCAGACCTGAGATGGCCCAGTTACGGTATGAGGGGCCCTTTTTTGGACATGATAGGGACCATTTCCGGGCTGAGGGGCCTATTTCAGGTCTGAGAGGGCCCATTTCAGATCTGAGAGGGCTAATGTCAGGCCTGACAGGGCCCATTTCAGGCCCTTGAGGTCCTATTTGAGGCCTGAGAGGGGCCCATTTCAGGTCTGAGAGGGCTAATGTCAGGCCTGAGAGGGCCCATTTCAGGCCCTAGAGGACCTATTTGAGGCCTGAGAGGGTCCACTTCAGGCCTGAGAGGGGCCCATTTCAGGTCTGAGAGGGCCCAGTTCAGGCCTGAGAAGACTCATCCCAGGAATGAAATGATCATCCTATGTGTGGGAGGGTCCGTACTCCGTGCCTGGTCTGGGTCTGAGAGGGCCTATCCCAATCCTGATTGAGCCGATATCATGTTTGATATAGGTCAACTCACCACATGTATATTGATGGCCCAGTTCATGTCTAATGGGCCCATCTCAAGACTCAGAGATTTTATGCTTCAGGAACTAGGAAGCAAGCATACCCCAAGCGTGAGGGGGCCCATAGAGGTTTTTGAGGCTCATGGAGCCTGGAGGTCCCGCAGTACGATATGTCAGCCTCTGAGAAGGCCATGCAGGGCCCTTAAGATGCCAAGCCGACATCTGAAAATTCCTCTTCTCTTCAGGCCTGTGCCTGCCTCACCGCCCGGCCCCACCCTGACGTCTAGGGGTTTGACGCCTAGGTATTCATCAGGACTCCACACCGGTCCATGATGGCTCCAAACTGACACCTGAGGCTCCTGCACCGGCTTTTGAGGGGCCCACCGACCTCTGATAGCCACCACGCAGGTCTCAAAAGACCATGTCGATTGTTGATAGCTATTAGCTAACCCCCCAAGTCTTGGAAGGCCTGTGCTCTATGCAGATTCTTGAGGGCTTTACGTGGGCTTGTAAACATCCCGAGCTGGCTCTAACCTAGCTCGACCGCGCCCCGCAGAGCAGGGCCCCAGGCTTTCCAGTTTTACGCCCCTGAGGGGTGTTTGAATATTCCCTTCTAACCTGACTCCAGGGTCACGTAGCGACAA